GTTAAGCGTCTGACTTCAGCTCAGGTCACGATCTCACGGTTCGTGGGTTCGAGCCCCGCGTCGGGCTCTGTGCGGACAGCTCGGAGCCTGGAGCCTGCTTCCGATTCTGTGTCTCCCTCTCTCTCTGCCCCTCCCCCGCTCATACTCTGTCTCTCTCAAAAATAAATAAACATTAAAAAAAAAATACTCTATGCAAACGTCTTGTGAAGGAAATGAGGAACCACAGAACACCCCAAAGATGGAGGCCTTCAGAAGATGCACAGGAGGCAGAAGGCCATCATCAGCCTTCCGAAGGGGTAGCCAGGAAGCAGAAGGAAACCCAGGAGGAGGGCTGACCCAACTGGCCAGGGGTTTAGATAGGACACTCCCCCGGGGCGCTTGATAAGAAGAACAGGTGAGCCACAGAGGCTTAGGGGAGAGGTTCGAGAAGAGTAAGAAACAAGTCTGTGATGATGCATCGGAAGCAAAGACATTCACCCAGCCGTCCTCATCCTGTGCGCTCGGGGCCCTGAATTCTTTTTCTGTCTGATGTTAAATCTGGCCCCTGCTTTCTCTCTTTTAGCATTTCCTGATGTCTCGAACTTCATTTTACTTTTTTAAAAATGTTTTATTTATTTTTGAGAGAGAGACAGAGAGCAAGTGGGGGAGGGGCAGAGAGAGAGGAAGACACAGAATCCGAAGCAAGTTCCAGGCTCTGAGCTGTCAGCACAGAGCCCGCCAGACAGGGGCTCGAACCCACGGACCATGAGATCATGACCGGAGCCGAGGTCAGACGCCCAACCGACTCGGCCACCCAGGCGCCCCAGTCTTCATTTTACTTTTAATCATCTGGTGAAGTTTTGTTTTAGGTAGTTTTCTTGTTACCAGCATCTCGCTGGAGTTTGTATTTTGACTCAGTCTCCGGGTCTGTTTCCCAATTGGATGGCTTCCCACGTATGAATGAAAATAGATTCATTCTATGTTGTAAAGTAAGACCTAACAGGTTACAAAGCAGTATATTCAGTACGAGCTCACATATGTAGGATTAAACCCCAGCCTGTGTGCGTGTGTGCGCATGTGTGCAGACATATATACGTACATCAAAAACTTCACTGCTCATCTCTGTGCGTGTGCGTTTCTTTCTTTTTGCTTATATCGTAGTTTTCTGTGAACATGTCACACACACCCAAAAGTTTTATAAGTAAGAGTCAAATAATTTGCAACAAGCTTATAAGGGCAGTGAGGGCACCTAAACTCTTGACGGAAGAATCGTAAAAACAAATGTAGAGGTGCCTGGGAGGCTCAGTCGGTTAAGCATCTGACTCTTGATTTCGGTTCAGGTTGTGATCTTGTGGTTCATGAGTTCGAGCCCCAGGTCGGGATCTGAGCTGACGGTGAGAAGCCTACTTGGGATTCTCTCCCTCTCTCTCTCTCTGCCCCTTCCTTGCTCATGCTTTCTCTCTCTCGAAATAAATAAATATTTAAAAAAATGTAAACCTCAAATTACCTCTGGATCTCTTAGAGGAATAAAACCAGCAATTATTATGGAAAAAAAAAAAACAACCCAACACCAAGCAGTTGAAACATGGTAAAGTGCATTCAAATATGGCTGAGCCCATCCCACAGTAGGACTGCAAGTCTACTGCACCTTCGTGGTCACGCTGTGTACTCTAGGGTTACGCGTGTCAAAATGACCTGGTCTCTACTTACCATTACGTCGGAGGACAGGCCCCATAGACAACTCCTATAAGCCACAAGAGCGAAGGTAACGCTGATTGCGCCTGTCCATCCACCATGGCCTATGTGATGCTGGACCCTCAGAACAACCCTGTGAAGTAGGTACTATTGTTCCATCTTCCTGATGAGAAACCGAGGCCCAGAGAGATGAACTAACTTGCCCAACGTCAAATATTTAGCAAATATTAGAATCGGGGTCTGCAGCAGGCAATTGAGAATGGAGAGGCTGTAACCCAGGGTCGAGAGCTGTAGTGTTCAGAGGGAGATACCCCTTCCCACTGGGGGAGGAGGTGGGAGAACACAGAGGTAGCCAGAGCAGGGGAAGTGTGTCGTGGGCAGCCTGCAGGGAGGCGGGAAAACACATGCATTTGGGGGGGACCCTGAGCAAGTCTGGGTGGTGCAGGAGAGGCACAGAGAGGGGTGGGACTGGAGCCACTGGGGCCAGACTTCGAAGGGCCCCTATGCCCCAGAGGTCTGACTTGTAGAGACTGGATTGTCCCTGCTCTCTCGACGGCCACTGGTGTATTCGCTTTTCTCAACAGCCTGTGAGGTGGGCACCATCCCCAATTTACAGGTAAGGAAACAGGCAAATATTTCTCCCACTCTGTGGGTTGCCTTTTCACACTCTTCATCGGGGCCTTTGATGCACAAAAAGGTTTTAATTTTGATGAAGTCCGTTTATCTATTTTTCTCTTCCATTGCCTGTGTTTTTTGTGTCCTATGCAAGGAATCGTGGGCAAGTCCAATGTCATGGGGCCCTCCTCCTCATTCCCTATATTTAAAAGAATTTCAACACCGAAACCACTGCTGAGACTCACAGGGAGCAGCACTGTACCGCGGATGGAGACTGTAGTCCTCATAAACCCCATCAAAAAATAATGTATTGAGGTGAAATCTCACAGCATGAAACTAACCTTTTCGAGGTCAACAAGCTACCCTTATTTTTGCCTCAGTCCCTTATGGCTCAGAAGTGATTTTCATATCTATTTTCTCCCTTGCTCTCCACAGTAATCCTGAGAGTGAGACAGAGCAGCAAGGCTGTTCATCAGGAAGGGGGGGCGCCCACAGCGAGGCCCCGAGCTGCCCCTTCCCTGACTCCAGTGTGGGCAGTGCTGCGTCCCGTGCTGGTGGTCTCGTTAGACTGGCTCCACGTGCTCCCCCTTCTCGGCTGTGTCCCCTTACGTGCACTGTCTGCCTCTAGGTGACCCTGACGTATGTGGCTTTTCCACCTATGACTTTGATTGCTGGTTGTCTGCACTTCTGTCTCCAGTCCCGTCAGTGCTTTCTCGGGGATGGGGCCAGGGTTTCCATCGGCACTGTGCAAGCCTCCGCAGCAGGAGCCTGGGGACTCCCAGAAAAGCACAGAGTGAGGAAGGAGCTAGGAGCCCCTCGGAGGACGATCTGGCCCTTCTGGGGTGGTAAGGTTGAGAGCGGCAGAACCGCAGCCGGGCCTGGACCCATTTCCTATCTGCCTGGAGTTCTCTTCCTCAAACTCATCCTTCACCTTCGGCAGGAAAAGGGTCACTGCTCCTGCCAGAGCCGAAGGGGTCTTTGCAACAGCTGCCAAGTGTTTACCTCCCCGAATCCTGACCACGCCCAGCCGTGTTTGAACAAACAGGAAGTCAGGAAGTCGAGGCTGTCCCACAGCTCTCGCAGGAGCCAGACTCCAGCCCGGGCCACCGAAAGCCCTGGGCTCTGCCACCTTCCTGGAGTGGCTCACTCATGCTTCCAACCGGTATCAGTGAGCCTCTCTCCCGGGTGCTGGGGATTCACAGATAACTCCACTCTGCCCCGTGCTGAGGCCACAGAAATGAAATGAAAACACCACGAAGGCCAGACAAGTATGAGCAAAGTCTGTCCTTTTTTTGAAGGCAGTGAAGATCCAGGGATGCCGGGCAGCCTCCAGACCTAAGTGAGAACCAGCTATGACTCATGATCAATAATAGATAACTTAGCAAGTGAAACCCAGATCCTGTGAAGCAGGTTGTGGGAGGTGGGAGCCTCAACAGGCTGCAAAGGAGGGAGAAGTACCTTTGGTCTCCAGATCCAGGCCCACCCCCCTTTTGATTTTGACATTGCTTTGTTCCTTTTCTTCTCAGGCTGATGACTGATGTTTGACATTATCATTAAGAATTTGAGGTCTCAAAAAAACGAATCATAGATTATTAGAGCTAGAGAAGTTCCTTCGGAATCATTTTCCTATTGGTTTTATAGATGCATATGATGGGGTCCAGGGAGGGGAAGGGATGTGCCCAAGGTCAGCCGGCAGGCAGAGCTGGGACCAGGACCCAGGTCCCCTCCAGCTTCTGCGTCCGACCACCCGGAACCAAAGCCAGCCTCCTGGGCCCAGCTTGTGGCTGGGGGAGGTCCCTGGTCCAGGATGAGGCCAGGTCTGGAGCTGGCAGGTAAGGGCCCTGTCAGGTGTCAGACCCTCTTCAGCTCTGCGCCCCCGGGCTCCATCCATTCCAGGATCACCTAGCCGGGTTTCCTGCTGAATACTGCTCAACCTCTTACTGGACAGGGCCAGTAAGGTTAACCGGGCAGAGTTATTAACTGGGAACGGTTCTTTCCACCCCTTCCACGCCCAGCCAACTCCACAGCCCTGGCCCGCAGGAGGGCTTCCAGGAGACGGTGGGGCTGGGGTCGCGCCCGGCCTCGCCTCTCCAAGCCTTCTAGGGCGGGCACGGGACTCGACGCAGCAGGTGACTTTCACCCCATCGACCCCGGGTGCTGGGCGCCATCGCCTGCACCTGAGGACCCCGCCTACCGCTGCCTGGGTTCCCGGGGGACTAGGCTGCCGGCCGGGATGGGCGGGGCGGCACCGGCCGAGGGGGCTGCGCGCGCAGACACTGCGCACGCGCGGGGACCTGCACCAGGTTCGGAAATGACGACCCAGCGCTGGCCCCCGCGGTTGCCCCCGCCCCACCCGGGAGGCCCCGCCCCCACGAAGGCCCCGCCCCGCCGGGCCCAGCTCAGGCGCCGCGGGTCCGGTTCCCAGTCCGTGAGGTCCCGCCCCGTCGGGCCTCCCTCCGGCGCAGTCGGCCCCGTCCCCCATGGAGGCCCCGCCCCCGGAGGCCCAATTCAAGTTTGGCCCTGTTGAGGCCAGATGCCCCGCCCCGCAGAGATGCCCTGCTCCCGCGGACGGCTCTCTGCCTGTGATTTGCCAGGACCCGGCAGGAGCCGGACGCGCGGTTGCGGTTCCCGGTGTCGCGGACGGGGTCGAGGCCGGCGGCCCGAGGCGCCCGAGCGGGGTGCGCCCAGAGAGCCGCGGCAGCCGAGCAGCCATGGCGGAGGCCACGCCGCATCCCCTGGCGCTCCCCTCGGGGCTACTGGAGCTGTGCGCGCTGCTGGGGCCCTCCCGGGACAGCCTCCGCGGCCCCGAGCTGGTAAGGGCGGGCGGGGAAACTGAGACGGGGCGCTGCCGGGCGGCGGCGACGGGCGGGGGTCTGCGGCGTGGGTTCGGGGCGCTGGGCTGCTGTCCTCCCGGCCGCGGAGGAGTCGTCCGGGTCGCCTTCGGGACGCACGCCGGGGCCGGGGGAAGGCGGGCTGGGGGGCGGGGCGGCCGCGAGCCCGGGTTTCACGGCCCCGCGGAGGCACTTCATTCATTATCGCGGGACTTAGGGCCTCCCCGGCGGTCGGTGCCGTTCCTCGCACAGCGTCGTGAGGCTTTAGGTCGTCGACGCAAGGGCCGCTTTGAAGCGTTCTGCTTAGTCGTTTTGCGAGGACGCCGAGCTGTTCTCACCTGCAGAAAAGGCTGACCCCCGCCCCCCTTTACTCCTTCTCTGTGTCCTCGCAGCCCGAGTGACAAACCCTTTTCTCGGAAGGCCGCAGTTTCGGACATTCTCGTTCTCCGAGCTTCTTTTCCTGTGTCTTCACTTTTTCTTATTCTGCAACCCTGGCTTTCTTTTGCATCGGCCTGTGGCCCTTTTTCTCGTGGCCCCGGATGTCCGTGTGACTCTGTTTTCGGCGGTTTTCTCTGGCTGGCGGTGATGCGCAAAGCGCTCTACCGGCCAGATACCTGGACAGGCCCTCCCCTCCTCCTGGACGACATCAGTGGGAGGCACCGGAAGACACCTGAGGATTTAGGGCTGCAGAGTTGAAGGGCTGCATGGCGAGGCTAGATGTCGCTATAATTAACCGGACAAACGTCTGTCAATGTCTTGGTGGTTTCCGTGACTTTAATACTGAGCCAGCTTCAGTGGTTTCTGCATTGCCCTCCTCCTTTCTTACTCCGCAAGCCCCTATGATGTGTGCACCCCCTTTTGATCTCTGTCTCCTCTGACCTTCATGGATGGAGTTGTGTCCCCGCCTCTAATTTGCCAAATGGCATTTCCTCCTTTTTCTTCTGGTAGGAAATGACCAGGTTTCAGTTGCTTCTTGGGTGATTACAACACATCTGTTAGTTGCCCCGATGTGGGACGTGTCTTGAGAGCAGGATGAATCAGCGGGAATACGCACCATGGTGCTTTCCTGACCCAAACAGGCTGCGGCGCTTTCCCAGACAAGCGGGCAGTTTGCTACTCTGCATATTTTTAAAAAAAAAATTTTTTTTAACGTATATTTATTTTTGAGACAGAGAGAGACAGAGCATGAACGGGGGACGGTCAGAGAGAGAGGGAGACACAGAATGTGAAACAGGCTCCAGGCTCTGAGCTGTCAGCACAGAGCCCGACGCGGGGCTCGAACTCACGGACCACGAGATCGTGACCTGAGCCGAAGTCAGACGCTTAACCGACTGAGCCACCCAGGCGCCCCTACTCTGCATATTTTTAAAAAATATTTATTTTTAAGTAACGTCTCTACCCAGCATGGGGCTCGAACTCACAACCCCGAGATCAAGAGTCGCCCGCTCTACTGACTGAGGCTGCCAGGTGCTGCTTGGTGACAGGTGCACCCAGGAACCGAGATACGAGAAACATCTCATAGGGTAGCAAGGTGTCCTGACTTTTAATTTCCTTTCTTGGTTGGGGTGGTGTTTGTTTTGTGAGGATGTGACGAGGACTCCCAAGAATCCAACTCAGTCCCCTGTGAGTTTCTGTGCCTACATTTCCCTTGGCTCCCTGGTTGCTGGGGAGAGTAGGCGTTGGGCATGAACGGGACCACGAGCAAGTTGGTCAGGTCAGCGGGGCGCTTTCCATCGGGTAGGTCACTTACATAATTCTTGGGTGTGAAGGCAACATTGTAACAGTTTTCAGTGGCCAGCATCCTGGCTTTCAATTTACAGAGCCTGGCTGTCTCCCAGAACTTGCTGAACGGTGACACCAGCGTTCTTTATCTGTGCCATCCAGTCCGGCAGCTACTAGCCACACATGGCTTCCAGGTGCTTGAAGAGTGGCTGGTGCCACTGAGGCACTGGATTTTAAATTTCATTTCATTTTAATTAATTTCAATTTAAATAGCCACGCAGCTCTTGGCAACGGTTGCACAGCACAGTTCTAGAGCATTAAAAAAAAAAAATCTATTGTCTTCTGTTTTATTTCCCAAATGATGGCCAATCCTGTATGAAGATCAGTGCTGCTGTATAACCTCACAGAAGTAAATCTGTGACAGTATGAATTAGGGTGTCGTGTGTTTTACTTTTGAATCAGCTCTGCTCGTTTGGACTGAAATGGTTGTTACTGGGTAGGGGTGAGGAAATCAGTGTCTGCGAGAGGAGTGCAGGAACTGGCTGTCACAAGTCTGGGGAGTGGGACCTTGTCTTCCCTGTAGGCGAGGGGCAGTCACGACGCTCTGGGTCCAGGGTGGTGCCTTCAGGAATTTATTCTGATTACACAGTCGGACGTGTGTAAGTACGCATGGGAGAGATTATTCGCCGCTGCCTTTGCTCAGGTGGTGCAGCGTGACGAACTGAGAGCATGCCAACTGTCCCTCAGCGGGGGATTGGGCAAATATGTTACAGGGTCGTCCCGTGTGGCACTCTACAGTGGCAACAGGGCAGTCAGCCACACTGTATGCTGAAGGGGGGAAGAAAGCTAACGGAACCGTTTAAAGAGGATGATTGTACCTAGGGGGACAAAATCACAATGTACACGTAAAAAGTGGGAAGAATGTATTCCATGCTTTGCAAAGGATATTAGTCACCCTTTCACAGAATTAGGGGGAAAGCCTTTCCTTTCTATTCTCATTTCTTTTATTTTTCCTATATTGCTGTCAGTGTTTACAAATGAGACCGTAGGGGCATCTGGGTGGCTTAGTTGGCTAAGCGTTCGACTCTGGCTCAGGTCATGATCTCGCGGTTCGTGGGTTTGAGCCCCGTGTTGGGCTCTGTGCCGACAACTCAGAGCCTGGAGCCTGTTTCAGATTCTGTGTCTCCCTCTCTCTCTGCCCCTCCTCTGCTTGCGCTCTGTATCTCTCTCAAAAATAAATATTAAAAAAATTTAAAAAAAACAAAAATGAGACTGTTGCCTATCAAGTCGGAAAAGACAGCAAGGAAATATGGCTAGAGGAAAAACAGATGTTTGATGAACTACTGAGTGCCCCGTTGGCTGGGTTTTGGCCATTTCACTCTAAGCGACTGCAGATAACTACAGGGAGCACAGCCTTGGGACACGGGCGCCGTGTCTGCGGATTGAGCGGTTGTGTCGTGCGCGGGTTTGGGGCACCCTGGCTTTGGAAGCAGGCTGGCCGGCCCCTCAGGTGTACAAGCAGCCCAGTTGTCATCCCGCCCGTGACACCTGCACACGGGTGATACATCCACGGATTACGTGCGTGGTGATGACAGTGATGTATGGATACAGAGGGTGGAGATGGTCTGTGGGGCTGGTTTGGGCCCTTTGAAGAGTGTGCAGGGGTGAAACGTGGGCATCAGGTGCAGGAGCCACCGCCCCTTGGGGCAGGTGTCACGTGTGCCCTTTCGAAAGGGGATGATGCCCCCGTTCGTGAGCATGGACAGAGGTGCCGGGGGGGGGGGG